TATTTCTTATTGATTTAACAATCTTACTAATTATTTGTGGTAAGTTTCCTACCATTCATGATAATATCATCCAACGTGAAGTTATTTCAAGTACTGAATAACTGATGTCAAGAAAAAATAAATAGTATGGTGGAGAGTTTCAGTTTATCTATGTTAGTTTTTCGTGCCCAGCATGGCCAGGTGGTTAGGGCGCTCGACTCGCAAGCTGAGGGTCGGAGGGTTTGAATCCCCGTCCTTTCAGCCGTGGGGGCGTCATAATGTGGCGGTTAATCCCACTAATCGCTGGTAAAAGAGCAGCCCAAGAGTTGGCGTTGATTGATGACTAACTGTCTTCCCTCTAGTCTTACAATGCTAAATTAGGGGCGGCTAGCGCAGATAGCCCTCGTGTAGCTTTGCGCGAAATTCAAAAACAAACAATGTTAATTTTTCTTGTGCAGTAAAAGATGGTAGGCCTACGTGTGCTAGACTGTCGCCCCCCAGGAGACACTGGTCACGATTTCCACATGAATGATACAGTTGCTGTTCATACAACTGATTAAACGTAGACGTACGTATTGTTATACTGTCGCCTCATTGATCACGAACTCCTAAACGTGTTAAAAGTCGTCCCTTAGCCAATTCTAAGAACTTGAGAGTGAAAACAAAAATGGAACATGAATAACGAGACAACCACACAAAATCTGCCATATTCAGTGCTGACAAGTCCCTATGCCAAATACCAGGTCAGCTGAGATTGGACAGGCATAGCAGTGGTCAAGATTTCATGAACAACAACTGTTTGTGTACTAGAATAAGTAAAATGTTATTATTATTATTAATTTTATGGAAGTCGTTTACAAACCAGAAACGACGTGAATTATTCTATTCTTAACGCTAACACTAATTATTTATTACACCTACCCTAAATAAGACTCGTTTAAAATTAATATTCTATAGGTCTACAATTGACATCTCGGTTCCAGTCGCGTTATCATCACTACTAGAAAAACGTTAACTCTCGTGTCTGTATGTCCACGTTTGAACACGTATGCAAAAAAAAAATCTCATAGGTTTTATGCCTCAGTGAAAAATCTGAAGGTTTGTAAATCCAAATTCCGGGTTTCGATACCCGTGGTGGGCACAGCACAGATAGCCTGTTGTATAGACTTTGGCTTTACAAAAACAACATAAATCGTAACATTAAAGTGTTGCATTATTCACCTAAAAAAATAAATAAGGGCGGGCGCTCGACTCGTAATCTGGCACGTGGGGTCTTGTACTGTGACGGTCAATCACACTATTCGTTGGAATCGAAGCCTATAGCCGAGCATGTTCATTCTTACAATCACGTGGGGTCTTGTACTGTGACAGTTAATCACACTATTCGTTGGAATCGAAGCCTATAGCCGAGCATGTTCATTCTTACAGTCACGTGGGGTCTTGTACTGTGACGGTTAATCACACTATTCGTTGGAATCGAAGCCTATAGCCGAGCATGTTCATTCTTACAGTCACGTGGGGTCTTGTACTGTGATGGTTAATCACACTATTCGTTGGAATCGAAGCCTATAGCCGAGCATGTTCATTCTTAGTCACGTGGGGTCTTGTACTGTGACGGTCAATCACACTATTCGTTGGAATCGAAGCCTATAGCCGACCATGTTCATTCTTAGTCATGTGGGGTCTTGTACTGTGACAGTTAATCACACTATGCGTTGGAATCGAAGCCTATAGCCGAGCATGTTCATTCTTACAGTCACGTGGGGTCTTGTACTGTGACGGTTAATCACACTATTCGTTGGAATCGAAGCCTATAGCCGACCACGTTCATTCTTACAGTCATGTGGGGTCTTGTACTGTGACGGTCAATCACACTATTCGTTGGAATCGAAGCCTATAGCCGACCATGTTCATTCTTAGTCATGTGGGGTCTTGTACTGTGACGGTCAATCACACTATTCGTTGGAATCGAAGCCTAGAGCCGAGCATGTTCATTCTTACAGTCATGGGGGACCTTGTAATGTGACGGACAATCACACTATGCGTTGGTTAAGGTTAGCCTAAGAGTTGGCAATGGATGGTGTTGAATAACTGCCATCTCTCTAGTCTGTCACTTCAAAATAAAAACGGTTAGTACAGATAAACCCCCATCTCCCTGCGATATTCAACAAACAATCTTGCTATTAATAACTAAGCAGTTCTTTCTTTGTTTGACAAGCAAACTTCGTTCTTTTTTTAAGAGGGGGGAGGGGCCTTGCAATACCTTATGATCGTTTTTTTCTTTTAGAATAGAGAAGGCAGATAATAAACGACACCCACCGCCAACTTGTCTGACTGATTAATGGGATATGATCGACGTTTTCAAAATAAATAGTTCGTTTTTTTTTAAAGGAAAGGAATACGATTCAGGAACCTTCGGATTCACAGTCCAGGCACACTACGAGTTGTATTCTTTCTGAAGCTGGATTTTTTAAATGAGTGGGTTTCAATTTCTGGTGGTTTAGTCCAGTTTTATTTCTCGAGTGGGATTATGTTTCATCTTCTATTCTGATGCCTTATTCAGAAAAGATGGGAGCAGTATTCCATCAACATATTGATTGTTTTTTT